AGAAACTTGGATTGGCCCTGAACTTTAGGTCAAAATGTACAGGTAATTCCCTCAGTTTGATCTGATGATCCAAGCAAGATTGATTGCACAAATTTACTTGAATGTTGTGTACGTTTCTTTTCTTAAAGTTGGTGGTTGGATCATTTTAATGTCACAATTGAGTAGCTGTCTTTGTTAATTATCATGGGTGTTGCTATAGACTTTTCTTTCTAAGCTTAGTTTCACCCTAAGCAAATTTTTCCTGAACCTACACATCAACTGAATAACCTGTTAACTATTCATGCTATAGGGTAGTCTCTTTGAAAGTGATGCACCTGTGCAATGAAGACAAGGGAGTTGCACAGGTATAACTGAGGGTACAATTTTGCTGGAAGAATCTTCTTACTGGTGGTGATGCCCAAGAAAATAGACAGATTTATCCATCATCTTCACATGTATAGAATATTGCTACATGTGCCTCCAGCAATGGCTTACCTGCCTGCTGTCTCAGTTTTCTCCCAGCTAAACTAAAAAAAAATAAACCTTCCCCTTTTGGGATAACAAAAATCCAAACAATATCTTCCTTCCCTGTGTCATTCATTTGCCTATTCTGTCTCCTGGAGTTCTGTGGTAAAATCAACAAACCAAATCCAAAGAAGAAACTTCCTTCCCAATCTCCCCTTGGTTTACTGGCTCCCTATTCAGGAAGGACAAGGGCTCCACTGGCAGACTGTGTGCAATAATACTGCCCAGCCTTCTGTAACCTCAGTGAGTCATACTGGTTGAAACTCAGGCAGAGGTATTTGCTGCCTCAAGTTCTCTTCCCATGACAACGTAGGCAAGTCAGTCTGAATTTGTTCAATGTTGAGGTTGAGTTTATTCAGAACTGACACTTAGTTTACAAGTAAAAAGATTATTTGACCCTATGTAGAAATCGGTGAAAGATGACAAACAGAAATCATGACACAGCAGTTTTAGCCACTTTTCAAGGTAAAACCACACGTTGACTTCTGTATTTCATCTTTCAGAGGAACTTCATGAAGCAGTAAAACCCATTTGTAATCTCTTACAAAGTAGTGCAAAAATTATATATCTTAAAAATATTCTTATAGTAAGAGGTAATTGTATTATGCTAAAAATTCTGAATCAGTTTTCTCAGAACTTGCTAGTGTTACTGTAATATCTCCACAGAATTTGGTTTTCTTACATATTAAAATGTTAGTGACAACTGGAGCTGATTTAAAAGAAATTTCTGGAAATTTTTGAAAATTCAGAACTTTTTTTTTTATTTTTTAATACTTGAGTTTGTTCCAGTTTTTCTGTAGAAGTATTGACTTTTTAAAAAAAAAAAAAAAAATCTTTTTCAAAATTTACATTTGAAAATTAAATGATTTACTTAAGTAATTATAAAGTTCCCATCATGGCTGTATCTGAGTGTCTCACAAACCTTTAATGTGTCTACCTTGTAATCACCTAGAGGATAGTAGAGTTGTAAGGAATAGCCAGCATAGATTTGTAAAAAACAAATCATACCAAACAAATCTCAGTTCCTTTTTTGACAGGGTTACTGGTTTACTGGATGGGGGGAAGCAATAGATGTGATTATATCTTGATTTTAGTAAGGCTTTTGATACAGTCCCACGTAACAGCCTCATAAGGAAACTAGGAAAATGTGGTCTAGATGAAATTACTATGAAGTGGATCATAGAATCATAGAATATCAGGGTTGGAAGGGACCTCACGAGGTCATCTAGTCCAACCCCCTGCTCAAAGCAGAACCAATCTCCAACTAAATCATCCCAGCCAGGGCTTTGTCAAGCCTGACCTTAAAAACCTCTAAGGAAGAAGATTCCACCACCTCCCTGGGTAACCCATTCCAGTGCTTCACCACCCTCCTAGTGAAAAAGTTTTTCCTAATATCCAACCTAAACCTCCCCCACTGCAACTTGAGACCATTACTCCTTGTTCTGTCATCTAGTACCACTGAGAACAGTCTAGATCCATCCTCTTTGGAACCCCCTTTCAGGTAGTTGAAAGCAGCTATCAAATCCTCCCTTATTCTTTTCTTCTGCAGACTAAACAATCCGAGTTCCCTCAGCCTCTCCTCAAAAGTCATGTGTTCCAGCCCGCTAATCATTTTTGTTGCCCTCCGCTGGACTCTTTCCAATTTTTCCACATCCTTCTTGTAGTGTGGGGCCCCAAACTGGACACAGTACTCCAGATGAGGCCTCACCAGTGTCGAATAGAGGGGAACGATCACGTCCCTAGATCTGCTGGCAATGCCCCTACTTTTACAGCCCCAAATGCCGTTAGCCTTCTTGGCAACAAGGGCACACTGTCGACTCATATCCAGCTTCTCTTCCACTGTAACCCCTAGGTCCTTTTCTGCAGAACTGCTGCCTAGCCATTCGGTCCCTAGTCTGTAGCAGTGCATGGGATTCTTCCATCCTAAGTGCAGGACTCTTCACTTGTCCTTGTTGAACCTCATCAGGTTTCTTTTGGCCCAATCCTCTAATTTGTCTATGTCCCTCTGTATCTTATCCCTACCCTCTAGTGTATCTACCACTCCTCCCAGTTTAGTGTCATCTGCAAACTTGCTGAGAGTGCAATCCACACCATCCTCCAGATCATTAAGGAAGATATTGAACAAAATCGACCTTTGTGGCACTCTGCTTGATACCGGCTGCCAACTAGACATGACACCATTGATCACTACCCGTTGAGCCCGATGATCTAGCCAGCTTTCTATCCACCTTATAGTCCATTCATCCAGCCCATACTTCTTTAACTTGCTGGCAAGAATACTGTGGGAGACCGTATCGAAAGCTTTGCTAAAGTCAAGGAATAACACATCCACTGCTTTCCCCTCATCCACAGAGCCAGTTATCTCCTCATAGAAGAATGTGCCACTGGTTGAAAGACCATGCTTAAAGAGTAGTTATTAACTGTTTCCTGTCAAACTAGGATCCTGCAGGGGTCCATCCTTGGTCCAGTACTATTCAGCATTTTCATTAATGGCTTGGATAATGGAGTGAAGAGTGAGAGTGTGCTTATTAAATTTGCAGATGACACCAAGTTGAGAGAGGTCACAAGCACTTTGGAGAAGAGGATTAGAATTCAATGTGACCTTGACAAATTGGAGAATTGGTCTGAAATCAACACGTGCAAAGTATTTCACTTAGGAAGGACAAATCAAGTGCACTGCTACAAAATGGGGAATAACTGCTAGGTGGTAGTACTGCTGAAAAGGATCTGGGGTTATAGTGGATCACAATATGATGCAGTTGTGAAAAGGCTAACATCATTCTGGGGTGTATTAACAAAAGTGGTGTAAGTAAAACATGCAAGTAATAGTCCTGCTCTACTCAGCACTGGTGAGGCCTCAGCTGGAGTCCTGTGACCAGTTCTGGGTGCCACACTTTAGGAAAGATGTGGACAAATTGGAGAGAGTCCAGAGAGCAACAGAAATGATAAAAGGTTTAGAAAAACCTAACCTATGAGGAAAGATTAAAATAATGGATATATTTAGTCTTTAGAAAAGACTGAGTGGGAACCTGATAGGTTTTCAAATATGTTAAGGGCTGTTGTAAAGAACAGAGAGATCAATTGTTTTTCAGATCCACTGAAGATAGATCAAGAAGTAATCAGCAGAAGGGAGATTTAGATTAGATATTAAGAAAAACTTCCTAATTATAAGGTTAATTAAGCTCTGGAATAGGTTTCCAAGGGAGGTTGTACAATACCCATCATTGGAGGTTTCTTAAAAACAGTTTAGACAAACACTTGTCAAGGATGATCTAGGTTTACTTGGTCCTGCCTCAGTGCTGGGGCTGGACTTGGTGATTTATCGAGGTCCCTTCCAGCCTTACATTTCTATGATTCTGTGATTCACAATACTCCTTTATGGTAGGAAAGTGCTATTATCCCCATTTTTACAGATGGGAAACTGAGGGACAGAGACTGAGGGCTTGTCTACATGGGGAAGCTATTTTAGGGTAAGTTAGTGTGAATTTAAAGTGTTATAGCTTTTCCACAATAACTCCCCAGTGGACACTTATGTTGGAGTAAGAGTATCCAGATGGGAAGCTATTGCAGAATAGCTTATTCCTTACTAACTATTCTGGTCAATTTCCCCATGCAGACAAGCCCTGAGTGACTTGCCCAAGATCACAGTAAGTCTGTGGTACAGCAGGAAACTGAACGCTGGTCTCCCAAATCTTAGGCTAATGCCCTAAGCACTGGACCTTCCTTCATGTCTACTTTCCTCATCTTGAAAAAATTCCCAGCATGTGACTAGACTGATCAATCAAAATAGGGGAAAAAGGCCCTCAACACACACACACGTTCACCGAAAAGCCAACAGGTGAATGCAGATATGTACACTTAAAATTTTTGTCAAAAATGCAAAAACCATTTTTGGGAAAAAAAGGTCTTCATGAAAATTCAGTTTAGAAATGTCCCTTTTTGACTAAAATAATTTTTGTTTGATAAATTCAACCATAGATGATGATGATGAGGTATCACAGTAACATATCAAGAACATAACAAAACATTTAAAGGGCCTGGTTCTCATTCATACTGATTCCCCTACGTTCCACTATGGCAGTGTATTGGGGCCCCATAGTGGGTGTAAGTGTAATTTGTGAATTCCTTTATATTTAATACATATTTTAAAAGAACTTGCCTAATGTACAAAAAGTTAAATCTTTTCTCTGGCAACAGACTCTCAACCTCAAGTTTGTTAAAATTGTGGCAGTAAAAATGTTAAATAAGGTAACAATTTTTAATATTTAAAAAAACCTTATTTAATCATCCATGTACCACTTACAACTAAACTTCATCACTGTATTTAAAATAAACAATTGACAATTGTAAAGTACTTGCAGTAGGTAGACTGCAAAAATACAGCAGCGCAGTTCTAATCGTACAACAATATTTAACTTACAAAAGACAAGTGGAAGCAAATTCATTGTTGTTGCAATGTCTTAACTTCTCCTTTTTTTTTTTTTTTTTTTTTAAAGGTATAAAGATTGTTGTACAGCCAGACCCTAAGTCAGTATTATCTGGACAAACAGTCAAGCTATGTTGTTGGGCAACTGGACATCCATTTCTGCATTATCAGTGGTTCAAAGAGGAAAAAGAGGTAATAACCAAATATAGGAAATCTCAAGGACTCGATGGAGGTATTGCATAAAAGTCAGTCTGCAGAATATAAATCCTTACAAAAAACTGGAGTCCATCTTCCCTCCTCCTCCAACTGGCTCAAAGATATTTTTAAGAACATTTATGGTGAAAGTTTCCAGATTGGCAACCCTGCAATAATCAGCGGGGTCACAGAGCGGAGCTCCTCTGGCCCCGGGACTGCAGCGG